AAAGTTTATTCTAGATACAACATTTGAAATGTACGTATGAATATTAGTATATGTTGGAGTTTGAATACTTTTTGGTAGATAATCATTATCGTACCAAGTATTTAAGAATGTGACCAAATTCAATGGTCATCGAATGTGAGCTATATATATTTTTGAATAATATTATATAGCACCAGTTTATGTGGCTATACTTTACAGGTTCAATTAAATGAATTATGCGATCTTGTATTTAAATGAATCTATGTACAGGCTGGAGCTCAAGGTGAACATAAAATTCAAAGGGGTTATCTGCCGGTGACAACCTACAGCTGTCACTACATTCTGGATGCAGAGTTTCGTAAAGTCATTGCAAATTTCTTGGCTCGGGAAGCAGCTCGGGTAATTTTATTAGAGAAATGCTATTCATCCTCACTGGGGATGCATCTCCAGTCTATGTGGCGTTAATGTGACATTAAATGATAGGTGAAATTAAATAAGTCATTTAATTTCACCTATCATTTAACCAATTATTTACATCCATATAGACTGGGGATACATCCCCACCAGGGATGAATAGCATTTTTCATTTTATTATGTTTTTTAGATTTGTCCATCAATAACGATATAATACTGCTTTATTTAAGACTCCTTTTTTATTTCTTATTCTTAATTCTTGTGTACGTCCTACAAGTGATTTTGTCTTATATTTATCCTAAAAGACTTGTCTTGAACTAACCTCTTGTAAAAGCTTAAGCCATTAGAGACAACAAATGTTTTTGTTTATCATGGAAGACACTTTTTTTTTTATTGATGATGCATATTTTTGACTTGTTACATTGTAGTGCTACTCGTAAAATTTCTAGGTTGCAACTGTAAATGCGGCAATTGGTCTTATGAGATAGCCCGAGTTTGTGTATATTAAGTCCCTCGTTGACAATCATACTTACAAATTCTTTTTTCTATGTACTCATTTTTATCCACATATTTACACAATAGAATATGCACGTAAACCAAAAATATTTTCCTTATTTTTAACCTCATATTCTCCTAAAAATCACTATTCAAAACTCTTTTCTGAAGAGTATGATTATCAAACAGGGGTTAAGGTGTGAAAGTTCAATAAAATAGCACTGGAGTTACTGTGCTGATAGACTTTGTTTGTATCTGCATGGATCCTTTCTTCCCTCTGAACTCTGCAAGATAAAAACTTCACTTCATTCTACCTTNCAAGATAAAAACTTCACTTCATTCCACCTTGCCAATTTTTTCTCTGTACTCGTTTTAAGTCTTTCAATAGAGACCTGAATTAGAATAAACTCATTCTTTGTTCTTTTGAATTTCGTATAATTGCTTATCATCTATACTTTCTTTTGAATTTTGCATCATCGTTTATCAACTATAGTTCACTAAATTCTTCTACAGATTAAACTCGTAATGAAAGTACTGCATGATTCTGGACCATTCAAGGACAATGTTTTAAGTGTTGAAGCATGAGATCTTCGTGGAATAAAGAAATATGGAACACTCATCATCGTAGTAGCTTCTTAGAAAATATGCAATATTTAGATGTGAATTGGTGATAGAAAAGAAGTTATGATTGCAAAGATTCTAAATCTCAACAATATACTACAACTACAGTATGGGAAAAAGCTTTTCATTGATAGAAGTGATAGGGGAGTTCATAAAAGATCTGATCATAAATGAAGACTTAAACCTGCAGGGAGAGGGGTGGTGATGAAGTGCGTAAGGAGTTAGAGTTTATGATGAGGTGAAATCGCAAAGGGAAAAAATGATTTCATGATAACTTCGGGATTGTCCTTTTTGGCGAATTGTGTGTCTAATTCGATTGGAAATCGGCCAATAATCACAACTCATCGCCTTTGGCCATGACGTACATCGGATTTTGGGCAGATTCCATCGTTTAAACCCTCACTTAAGTGTTTTTACCGTCTATGGTAATTTTTATTTTAGTAATATTTCATTCAACAAAATTCGGATTCATATTCCGTTTGTTGGAGGACGATCCTGAATCTTAGTAGTTTCCATTTAAGTTATTAGCTCGAATTTTTCCATTTATGGAAAATATCTTTTTTTATTTTTATTATTTAGTTTCCGACTTGTGTTAGGGTTTTACTATTTAAAGTATTGTAAGCCCTTTGATGCCATAGTTTATTGAATAAAATAAAATTTTCGTGAGTTTTCTCTCATCTTTGTGAGCTTGTTCATCTTTCCTATAATCTTCCACTACGTTAGGTGGATTTAACAGAGTTATTTATTTTGCTAATATGAGAAAATAAAAGATACATTACAGGTACCTCGTTCAGATAACAGATAAGATGACAAAATTTCTTACCCCGGGTGTCTTTGGGACGACACACAAGTGTCTGAGACCAAGTTGTCGAAAGAGAACAGAAGCTTTGGTAAGGGACATAGTCTCTACTACTGTGTATGGAGATGTATTTGTAACTAGATGGAGATCAACATACATCTCCGTTTCGTCGTGACTAATGTCCAAATCCTCCACCCTAAACCCCTTACCTGATCCAGGTTTAGCAAAATCGAAGGCATGAAACATCCTTAAAAATTATGATCCAGTTAATACCTGGTTCTTGGCAAATTTTTTTCCTTTGAGCAAAACAAGTGAGACCTCAAAACCAATCCGCACAATTCTAGTGCATTTGATAATGGTGGCTCATCAATAACTGGAAACCCATTATGTCCCATCATCCTAAGAGTATGCAATATATTACTCACTTTCTCGACTCCAGAAAATGTAATCAATGAACCTGAGCAAACATCCCCAGCGACCATCTGCCTCGTGTACGGTTCAGCATGCATTTCCATGTACGGCAAACCCCTTCATCTCTACTATTTGATCATAGACATTCTTGTTGAAACTGTCAGCCAGTCTTTGAAATAAGAAGAACAAGCATCACTAATGGGAGCATTAACAGATCATTGGTAAGTGCCAGGAGTATGATGCAAAGTGAGAACGTCATTCTGATGATGCCACCAAGAAAGGAGGAGGCTCCAAGAAGTGTACATGTTTACATGTACAAGTTTACACGTACAAACTTATGTATATGCGGAAATACACACATAGAGACAGTTGATTCAATGAATGTAGAGAAAGTTTTTCTACTTCACTGCGAGGATTGCCCTTTGACGGCTAATGCCTTCGTATAAGATTTGCTCTAATTTGTAATATCATTTTTTTAACTCCAAAACTTCTAGAACCTATTTACCACTCTAATTTTTTTAACATAGTGAAAGGACTCTATGTGTACTTCAGTTAGTATTCATTAGCTAGGCAATTGCATGAAATTTGTCGATTGAAAGTTCTCAAGACATCACATAGGCAGTTGAATCGAAGAACTATTGCCTAAACAGTCAATTGAAATTTAGGTGGGTTCTTGTGTAGCTCATGTGCTGTTTGGACGGGCTGTGAAATTCTATGGGCTTCAAATTGAAAAATTACCCAAGAGCAAATGATATATTCAGTGTCAGCACAAAGAATGACACGACATAGGTATGCGGGGGTAAAACTTGGACCTTCACTATAATTTCCTTGTTTGATCAAAATTATTTTTGGTTTGAAATTGGATTGCGATTTTGACACGATTTTTGACTCCTATAAATACAAAATATGGGCTACACATTAGATAATTCTCTCTAGGTTCTAATTACTGATAGCCTAAGAATAAGTAATCAAGAGGAGGGTGAATTGATTTTTAAACTTTTTCGAGAAAAACACTTAAATCAAGCTAGTTAAGAATACGTTGATAGTTAGTAATAATCGTAAGCAAATAAAACCAAGTAGATCAATCAAATATGTTAGGTTCAATATTGTAATTGCAATTTTGTGAACAAAAAAGACTTAATTGAAAGCAAGATAAAAACTTCACTTCATTCTACCTTGCCAATTTTTTCTCTGTACTTGTTTTAAGTCTTTCAATAGAGACCTGAATTAGAATAAACTCATTCTTTGTTCTTTTGAATTTCGTATAATTGCTTATCATCTATACTTTCTTTTGAATTTTGTATCATCGTTTATCAACTATAGTTCACTAAATTCTTCTACAGATTAAACTCGTAATGAAAGTACTGCATGATTCTGGACCGTTCAAGGACAATGTTTTAAGTGTTGAAGCATGAGATCTTCGTGGGATAAAGAAATATGGAACACTCATCATCGTAGCAGCTTCTTAGAAAATGTGCAATATTTAGATGTGAACTGGTGATAGAAAAGAAGTTATGATTGCAAAGATTCTAAATCTCAACAATATACTGCAACTACAGTATGGGAAAAAGCTTCTCATTGATAGAAGTGATAGGGGAGTTCATAAAAGATCTGATCATAAATGAAGACTTAAACCTACAGGGAGAGGGGTGGTGATGAAGTGCGTAAGGAGTTAGAGTTTATGATGAGGTGAAATCGCAAAGGGAAAAAATGATTTCATGATAACTTCGCGATTGTTCGTTTTTGGCGAATTGTGTGTCTAATTCGATTGGAAATTGGCCAATAATCACAACTCATCGCCTTTGGCCATGACGTACGTCGAATTTTGGGCAGATTCCATCGTTTAAACCCTCACTTAAGTGTTTTTGCCGTTTATGGTAATTTTTATTTTAGTAATATTTCATTCAACAAAATTTGGATTCATATTCCGTTTGTTGGAGGACGATCCTGAATCTTAATAGTTTCCATTTAAGTTATTAGCTCGAATTTTTCCATTTATGGAAAATATCGTTTTTTTATTTTTATTATTTATTTTCAGACTTTTGTTAGGGTTTTACTATTTAAAGCATTGTAAGCCCTTTGATGCCACAGTTTATTGAATAAAATAAAATTTTCGTGAGTTTTCTCTCATCTTTGTGAGCTTGTTCATCTTTCCTATAATCTCCGCTACGTTAGGTGGATTTAACAGAGTTATTTATTTTGCTAATATGAGAAAATAAGAGATACATTACAGGTACCTCGTTCAGATAACAGATAAGATGACAAAATTTCTTACCTCGGGTGTCTTTGGGACGACACACAAGTGTCTGAGACCAAGTTGTCGAAAGAGAACAGAAGCTTTGGCAAGGGACATAGTCTCTACTACTGTGTATAGAGATGTATTTGTAACTAGATGGAGATCAACATACATCTCCGTTTCATCGTGACTAATGTCCAAATCCTCTACGCTAAACTCCTTACCCGATCCCGGTTTAGCAAAATCGAAGGCATAAAACATCCTTAAAAATTATGATCCAGTCAATACCTGGTTCTTGGCAAATTTTTTTCCTTTGAGCAAAACAAGTGAGACCTCAAGACCAACCCACACAATTCTAGTGCATTTGATAATGGTGGCTCATCAATAACTGGAAACCCATTATGTCCCATCATCCTTAGAGTATGCAATATATTACTCACTTTCTCAACTCCAGAAAATGTAATCAATGGACCTGAGCAAACATCCCCAGCAACCATCTGCCTTGTGTACGGTTCAACATGCATTTCCATGTACGGCAAACCCCTTCATCTCTACTATTTGATCATAGACATTCTTGTTGAAACTGTCAGCCAGTCTTTGAAATAAGAAGAACAAGTATCACTAATGGGAGCATTAACAGATCATTGGTAAGTGCCCGGAGTATGATGCAAAGTCAGAACGTCATTCTCATGATGCCACCAAGAAAGGAGGAGGCTCCAAGAAGTGTACATGTTTACATGTACAAGTTTACGCGTACAAATTTATGTATATGCGGAAATACACACATAGAGACAGTTGATTCATTGAATGTAGAGAAAGTTTTTCTACTTCACTGAGAGGATTGCCCTTTGACGGCTAATGCCTTCGTATAAGATTTGCTCTAATTTGTAATATCATTTTTTTTAACTCCAAAACTTCCAGAACCTATTTACCACTCTAATTTTTTTAACATAGTGAAAGGACTCTGTGTGTACTTCAGTTAGTATTCATTAGCTAGGCAATTGCATGAAATTTGTCAATTGAAAGTTCTCAAGACATCACATAGGCAGTTGAATCAAAGAACTATTGCCTAAATAGTCAATTGAAATTTAGGTGGGTTCTTGTGTAGCTCATGTGCTGTTTAGACGGGCTGTGAAATTTTATGGGCTTCAAATTGAAAAATTGCCCAAGTGCAAATGATATATTCAATGTCAGCATAAAGAATGACACGACATAGGTGTGCGGGGTAAAACTTGGACCTTCACTATAATTTCCTTGTTTGATCAAAATTATTTTTGGTTTGAAATTGGATTGCGATTTTGACACGATTTTTGACTCCTATAAATACAAAATATGGGCTACACATTGGATAATTCTCTCTAGGTTCTAATTACTAATAGTCTAAGAATAAGTAATCAAGAGGAGAGTGAATTGATTTTTAAAATTTTTTCGAGAAAAACACTTAAATCAAGCTAGTTAAGAATACGTTGATAGTTAGTAATAATCGTAAGCAAATAAAAACCAAGTAGATCAATCAAATATGTTAGGTTCAATATTGTAATTGCAATTTTGTGAACAAAAAAGACTTAATTGAACATGTGTAAAAGTCAAGGCGTGAAGTGCAATTTTGTATAGTTGAGTTAGATTGCCTAGGGTTTGAGCTTGAGTTTGGAAACAAGGAAGAAGCGGCGCCGAAATTTCGCTAGCCTCACGCCTGGCCATCACTCGAGTGACAGAAACAGAACTATTGACGCTCGCTTATCGCCCCGGCTTCGCTCGAACGACAGACCTTTGGCTCGAGCGATATGTCCCCGCGAAATTACAGCCTCACGGGTTATTAAGTTACCATTTTCATAAATCCAAAATCAACTTTAATAATACATAAATCAGGTTTTAATTAATAATTTTTAAATTAATTTTTATTTAAATCAAT